GAGCAGGGAGCCCGATGCGGGACTCCATCCAGGGACTCCAGGATCATGACCTGAGCCGAAGGCAGTCGCTTAACCAACTGAGCCACCCAGGCACCCCTGGAGATCTATTTTCAAGAGGAAATCATTTAGGGCATCCTAAACCTTTTCATGAGACAAGGAATCTCTCCCCTAGACCTTGGCAAGGGCGAGGGGAGTGTCAGTGTCCGGCTGTCAGGGTGTGGTTGGGGTGGGAGGGGCTTTGTGCCCTGAATGGGGCCAGAAACCTGCCAGGGGAAGAGATGGGGGTCTGCTGGTGCCTAACACAGAGATGTGAGGCTTCTGAAAGCTCCCACAGAAAGGCTAACAGCTCCACTGTGGGCTCTGTCCTGCAGGCCCGGGTCAAGGGAGCTTTGTGAACATGAGCGGGCCTGGAGCAGCCGGGATAAATTTAGAAATGATGAAAAAGAACCCTTCTTGATATGGTGAAGAGTCATTTAGTAGAAATCCAAAGGGAAGAAGTCACCAAGTTAGAGATTATTTAGAGATTACTTCTAGCAAGGGAGGTGCAAAGGGTTAGGAAGCCACCTACTCACAACGCAGCACAGAGGCAGATCCACTTATTACCTTAATTTCTTACCTGCTGCCTGCAATTAAATGGGAGAATCCTGTGGTTCCTCACTGTGGCACAGCTTAGGAACAGCATCCAGCTGCTTGCATAAAATAAGCTGCAGGAGTAATAAGGGACATGTGCTAAAATCCCAGCTCTGCTTCGTGCTAGCTGTGTGATTCTGGGCAAGTTACTTAGCCTCTCTGAGAATTTGTTTTCTCATATTTAAAGTGCAAGTAATAATATCTGTGCTATATGGCTGAAGTAAGGATGAAATAAGGAAGTTCTCATGGTGTTGAGAATGTAAATGTATATATTATCTTAGATCCCTTCCTTGTAGAAAGCCAAATCCACAGGGCCCTCCTCCAGCGTAGTATTCACCCATTCAACAAATAAATGTTGCTTCCTCTCCCTTTCACCCTAAGGGAACTCAGCGGCTAAAGAGCACCTTTCCCTTTGCAGTTTCCTGAGGACTAGAGGCCTGATTTGGAATTGGGTGTTCTCAGTGCAAAGGAATGTTCTGAGAGGCCAGCCAGGCAGCCCAGAAATGGGTTTCCTGATCCCTTCTGGCTTATTGCTGGGAGAGCTCCTGGGCACATCTTTTCCAAGCAATACAGCTGGTCTTAGCTGGGAATGCTGCATGCTTTGGTTCCTCCTTCAGCAGAAGGCTGGGAGGAGAAGCAGGGCAGGTCAACATCCTGCCTAGGTATGGTTCAAAACCCCCAGCCAAGCCCCGTGAATTCAGTCTCAGCTTGTTGTTGGAGAGCTCTCCTGTAGACAGACAAATGGAGTGGGCTAATCAACTGAGGGTGTAGTTGGATGACATTGGGCTTCTGGTCTCTTTGTCCCACTGGGAATCCTTAGGCATTCTATCAGAATAGCCTTCAAAAAAATGTTTTATTGTTGTTCCTAATGAGTTTTTGCTGCAAAAAGGCAGATGTGTTCTCAGGTGTGTTAGAAATTCACCCTTCAGTCCTTCAGCAAGTCATGGTCGAGGGCCTCCTCCACACCGGGCACTAGGACTGTGACAGCAAGTGAGACAGGTTCCCCGTCATCATGGCGCTTACGTTCCAATGAGGACAGACAGACTATAAACAAAGAAGTTAATAAACCAGCCATCTACCTTCAGGCTGGGATTGGTGCACTGAAGGGAACGAGCAGATGGAAGGTGACCCGTGGTGGGGAGGTAGAGACAGTGGGCAGGAAAGAGACCCAAGGAGGTAACGTGGCCATGGAAGGCCTCTCCTAGGAGGTGATGCTTATGTGGAGACCCAAAGGATAAGGATAGCACAGACCCAGGCACAGAGAACAAGTCAGGATGATGCCTTAAGTGGGAAGGGGCTTGATTTAAGGAACAGAAAGACCAGTGTGTCTGGGACTCCCGAGCAAGGGGAGAATGGTGGGAATGGAGTCAGCAAGGTCACCAGCAGCTGGGTTATGTAAGATTCTAGAGGCCATGGTAAGGACTCTACATTTATTCCAATGATAGTAGTGGGATGGGACTTGGATTACATTTTTAATGGACAGCCCTGGGTCATTTTGGGGGGAAGGAATTGAAGGAGAGGGCAAAGGCAGGAATATTTCTTAGGAGGTTATTACCAAGTTCAAAGGAGAGGCAATGGTGTTTTGACTGACGTCTCAGTAGCAAAGGGAAAGATGGCGGCAAATTACATGTATCAGGGTTGGGGTGGGGTTAGGGGGAAGGGTGAGGAAAAGGAAGGAATTGGGGTGTTTCCAGATTTGGATAGACCATGTTGCTGTTGACTGAAATGAGGAAGAACAAGTTTGGAAAGAGAACTCAAGACCTGGCTGGTGGCTCTCACTTAATTTAAATGTTCTTGTGGCTTCATCTGTGGCTTGAGTAGAGTTGAGGATTTACTTGGTTTTCAAGAGCTGGAAAAGAAGGGATTTCTCTAGCTTCCAGGCAGGGTCCAAACAGAGGTGATGCCTTCCCCGTGACCAATCCCAGCGAGGGAGTCTGACACCCTACCTCCTCCACTCCTCCCGCCAGGGGTTCCAGCCAGCTAACCTTAGTTCCTCATGCCACTACTAATGTCTGTCCTCACTTCCTGTCTTCCACTGAGTTATTGATGGCATCTCTTATTCTCTTTATCTCTTCACTAAAAATCGCAAGCACAAGTCACACTATGTCTAAGGACGCGGTCTGTCCAGCCCAGAGCTTATTGCTGACACAAGGCCAGATTCTGAAAAACCATGAGTTGCTGTCTACGCTCTCACCCTTAGCATTTCAAGCCCCTCTCCTAACCCGTGGGGATGGATCGTCCTGTACCATCCAGTCCTTTCTTGACCTGACTTCTGTTTCCAGCCTGTACCCCCTCTTGGGCCACCAGTGTTATGTACTGATGTCCCCTTATTTTCCGACTTAATGACTGGAGATGGTAAGATTCCCTTATAAAATACTCTCAAACCACCAAATCGGGGCCCTATTGCTCTTAGTAATAATGGTTGCTATTTATTAAACACTCCCAAGGGAATGTGTACCCCACCAAGTGCATCATGTGCATGATCTCATTTAAGAATGCTCTGAAGTAGATATTCGTACTCCACTTTACAAATAAGGCTTGAAGAGCTTTAGCAGGTTGCCCCAGGTCACCCAGCTAGTGAGAGGTAGAGGCCAGATCTGACCCCAAGTCCTCAGTCTCCAGTACCAGCGCCGCTGCTCTCAAGGAAGAAAGGCCAGAGAGGCCTTTCAGAGGTTTCTGTGCTGACGAGCCAGCTTGTTCTGTGATGGCAGTGGGTGTGGCCAGTGATGATGGTTTGGAGTCTTTGATTTTGAAGCCGTGGACTGATGGGGGCTGGGGTGTATTAGTAACTGCTATTCATTCACTTTGGGAGCCACAGGCCCACATTCGGTTCTCTAGGATCAACAGTGTGGACAAAGGAAGCTTTGTAGGCATCCAACACTCTTAACGGTGACTTGGGAAAAACTGGGAGAGCACAGAGTTGTCCCAAGTCAGAATGTAAAGATATTCCTATTTTATTTATATATATATATATATATATATACACACACACACACACACATATATGCATATATATATACACATATATACATATATATATATGTATTTTTTTTTTTTTTTTTTAAAGGCGGGTGCTGAAAGCCTCAGCCCACCCAAGTCTGAGAGGGTGCAGGCCCACAGACAGCTGGGTAAGGCTGTCCCACTGCTGAGGGAAGACTCAGCTCCGTGCACACCCCCTCCAGCCATGTCCCTCACCCTCTGCGAGACACCTCCACTAGAGTCTGGTGCTGAAATGTCCCCATTATTAAGCAAAGGTTGGGAGTGGCCCAGGTCCATCTTTGTTTTTAAAGCTCCTAGTAATGAAAGAAAGAAAGAAAGAAAAGAAAGAAAGAAAGAAAGAAAGAGAAAGAAAGAAAGAAAGAAAGAAAGAAAGAAAGAA